AAAAATTCTTACTTCTTCAAACTTTGGGCACCCAGAATCCCAGCCACAGATCTTATCGTTGCCTGTAAACATCTTCATAGACATCATACAAATGGTTAACGTCACAGTCCCAACAATGACTTCCCATGGATGAGAGGCAACAAAAAGTCCGTGCATTCGAAAGAGCCTAGACAACATTTTCATGTTTGTTTGTCTTATACCTAGAACGATATGCAATAGAAGAATATTTAACATAGATAAGTGAAAGACATGGAAAAATGAGAAAGATCTGTAACTTCCTCCAAGCTACTTCCCATCAGCTTTGTTTTATCTTACTAAAAAAAAAATCTTAGCTCTATCACCTTACCTTCCAATTTAAAACAATGCATTTATTTCTACTGTCCCCAAAAAACATTTACCAATCTGTTCTACAGCTGCCTCAACATTCAAAGAAAAAAAAAATACCCCAAAACCATACACGGCTTTTCCATCCCAACTTCTCCAGACAACATACCATCACTTCCCTATCCTCCTCCAAGCACCTACTTGAAATCCCTGGATTTCTTCTTTTCCAGTCTCTTCTAACCTCCATAACCTTTTATGAATTACACTGGCCTTCCCTCTAGTCAGTTCTGCTCTTTAATTATTTCTTCTGACTTCTCTGCCCTTAAAGTCAATTGTTCCAACTTGCACATGCAAGGGCTATGAAATCTCCAGACTCTGCCTACAATTTAGATTTTTGTGTTAGTAACAGTTAGTTAATGTAGACCAGCCATGAACATTTTAAACACTAGGCCAACTAACTCTGCTTAACCAAAGATACTACATGCAAAATATAATATATGTCCTATGCTATTACTCCCATTAATGCTATTTTGGGGTTGGGAGATTTAAAAAAAAAAAATGGTAAGTGCAGAAGAGGCCTTAAGTTCTTACTGCAGTGTCTTCTTTTTCAATATTTCTTTGGGGAACTCTTACTTTTAACAGACCCTTAACAAGGCTCCAGGCTTGACTTCTTCAATATACCATCTCATTCCCTCCACATAGTTTCAGTGATTATTTTTATACTCATGACCAAACTGACCTATCAGATTTTTCATCATGCATCCACATCTCAAACACCTTGACATCTTATTTACGCTTCAAACATCAATCCCCTTATTAACTTCTCTATCAGTTCCCTGCATTTTCCCCACCCAACCCTACAATTTTAATACTATTTTGACTCCTCCTTTTTTCATTCCTCTTCTGCATGCAGGCACTCTACCACTTTATCTTCATTTTTCCTATTAAAACCTGTATCATTTTCACCTCTACTACATTCAATCTGCTTTAGCCTACCTGCCTCACACCATGCCTACCATTTCAGATCAATTTAAAAGCAATCCCAAAACCCTGAAGGTGGCATGGCAGATTGACACATTAGAGATTACCTGGTTCAGAGAAGCATAAGATTTCATAAGTGTCAGCATCTGATGAAATAGGCTATATTACTCTCCAAGGTTCCACCCTGCCCTGCCTTCTGCTTGACTTCAGACTAACATGGCTAACCACCTTTCTGAAGACTGTCAAAATGAAATGGTGGTGGTGTCACTGAAATCAATGGCAGAAATCTTACCAACTTTGATAGTCAGAATTTCATCCCTGTTCTTGATAAGTATTTTGGAAAATTAGTTATTGATACGAAACATAAAGGTGCTTAACTACTAACACTAATTAAAAATAATTCCATCAGCCAATGACAGGCTCCCATTTGTAACCCAAGAATGTTTTATCTGCCTGGAAGCAGCAGCTTTCATTGAATAAAGACATTTAGCTTCTTTTAAAAAGAACTTTAATACTGCATACTTACTGGATTACTGTGCATTGTAAAACAAAAAACAATTTTCAACAACTTTACAAGCACAGACTCCTAATTTTATTTAAATAGGAAAACATAATAATAAAGTTAATACAACAATGCTTACTATTGTTGCATAAGTGATGGGGCTCTACTGTATTTTTGATGACTTTCAGAAATATAAATCTTATAAAGTCTAGCACCTTCCAGCTTGCCCTCATTTCCCACAGCAAAATCTATTTTCTCAGCACAACTGTACTTCCTAGTAAGCTGACAAGTCCACTGATCCCAATTCATTCTCTGAAAACTGGCATATAACAATCTTTCTCCATCCTCGTGCACGGCGCCCCGGGGACAGCATGCAGCGACAAAGGGGGCTGCACAGAGTTTGTCAACTGTCCACATAGCAACATTAAATTCCAGCAGTGCAAGAAGGCAGCCAGACATCTGGAGTCACTTCTGTACACAGGGGCACTTGCAACAGTTGCCACCACTGCTGCCAAGATTGCATGGCTGCAGCAAAAGCCATTTTTTCCACCCTCCAGCCCCCGTCAGAATCCAGGGTGGTTGCCCACGTCATCTACCCTAGTTACACTGCTGTTAAATTAATTTCAATAAAGCCAATTTGTGAACCTACAGAAACAGATATTAACTGAATAAGTTACTGCAGACCCCTGCTTTTCTTGAAATAGCAGCGAGCAGTTCTTCTGTTCATCACTTTGTGAAGCACTAAGTAAACACAGTATGCTACATTCACCAACAGCCAGTGTCCCCTATTACTTATTCAAATGTATGCAGAATATCAAAGAGCACTTACGAAATGCAAAAAATTCCAGGTGCCTTGGTCAAACATGAAGTTTACAAGCCTACTTACAAAAACACAGGCTCCTGCAACCTTCTCAAATCCAAGAAAGAATTAAGGGATGAAAAAAGGAGACGAAAACACGTTAAATACTTTTAAACTGTAGCTGGCCAAAAATCGCAGTGACCTGCAAGGGAAGAGACTACCTATGTGCCACTTCATCAAGAGCAGGGGACAAAAACGCCCCCCAAAAAACAAAAAAAGCAAAAAAACCCAAACAGCATCTTATTAAACCATCAAAATAACATCCCATCAAGCCAGCAATAATCTCCCTAGGAACCATCCAGGCAGGTTCCCTCTCCAATTTCGTCACCTCTAAGCCCAAGTAAAATTGCAGTCAAGCACAATAAGCACTAAGAGGTAAGCACCCAACCAATGTAATCCCAACATTACTGCAGCGATGATGACATCCCTAGGTGGCCCCCAAGCCGCTTTCAGGGTGGATGTACAGTCACTGACTGGTATGACTATTGTTGCCCTTCCTCTCCTTCTACAATCCTACCTCTTTCAATACCCAAGACCTCTGGCTGTATTGCGCACCGCTCACTACAGTCATTTTTCAGCACCCTACAGAGGTCTGCAGGAAATGGACGCACCTTTATTTGAGTCCTGGGGTGAGAGACCTCCCACCCCTTCCCTCCCCTGCACACCAGGGCCGGGAGACCCCCCCAAAGCAAGTCCTTCCTGCGGTTTCAGACGAGACCCCAGCAAAAACAAACCGATCTGAGCGGTGCCCAAAGCGATGCTCAGGCGGCCCCGCCCACACAGCAGCTGCACCGGCCGGGCGGCGGTGAAGCGCCCTCTGCCCAGAGCCGGGGCGGGCGGCCGAGAGCTGGCAGGACAGGGGCCGCCCCAG